AGCTGCAGGCAGAAGAAGAGGGAGAAGCAGGCTCCCTGCTGAGCAGGGAGCCCAATGCGTGTCTTGAGGTGGGCCTGGATCCCAGGACCCTGGGATCATAACCTGAGCCGAAGGCAGACACTTAACCGACTGAGCCACCCAGGCATCCCTGGTTTCTGAATTTCTGTAGTTCTGATTTACATTGTTCTTTTTTGTCTTACATCATTTTGTTCATGTTTTTAACTTGCTTTACTCTTTTTTTTTTTTTTTAATGTTTTTCTGGGTGGCTTTCATTGTCTGTAGGACTGTTCTTCTCTCTCCCGGTCTCAATCTATCTCTCTCTCTCCTCTTCTTCCTCCTCCTTCTTCTTCTTTAAGCCATCTAGCTTTCCCAGGATTTGAGTTCGAAACTTTTCCATTGCTCATTTTATGTGAAATTAGTTTTTCTGAACATTTAGGAGGAGGCTTGGTTAAGAAAACGTTTGTATTTTCACAGAGCTCCCCCTTTTGTTGTTTCTGCATATTGTTAACAAAAATCTGGCTTTACCTCTGAGGTTTTCTGGCTCTGTTCTCCTCCCCCACTTTCATCTAGCTCAGTTCTTTCCTTGATTTCTACTTTCCCTACCCTGCTCCATTGCAATCTCCTTACCAGGTGTTTCTCAGCATGGGACCCGCCCTAGAAGGAAGGCTTGGTGGTCATTTCTGGAATTCATGGGCATTGAACTCTATCAGCCCTTAAGCCTTGTGGCAGACCCTTTGCACTCCCCCAGCTGGAGCTGGCAAAACCCTTCCCAGTTTTGGCTGCTATTTTCAAATTGGCCCGCCAGGCATTCCCACAACTAGATGTTGCAATCTGGGGACTCCTGTTCTTAGGTCTGTTAGACACCTTGCTGCTTCCCTTTTATACGTCCTCCACAGAGGCCCTAGTGGCACTCAGGCCTCGTAGCTGTTGCTGATTTGTCCTCACTCATTTGTTCGTGGAGTTCCTGAAAATACCTTGTCACCTAGTTTTGTTGCAAATGTGGGTATGGAATTTTGTTTCTGTTTGTATGTGGGGACTTAGGAGGATTTAAATCTGGGCTGGGCATCACTGCCATCATCTTATCAGAACTCCCCAGCTGCTGTCATTTTACAGATGAGGAAACTGAGCCCCAGGGTGGTTTGCTCAAAATCACACAGCTAATGACAGGGGATAAACGAAATGTGAGAGCACCTGCCATCGTGCAAGGAACAGAGATGATGCATAATACAGACTACTTTCTCTCTGTCCCCCTTACTTCTTCCTCCCTGCTTCCACCAGCCAGTGTCCCTTCAGGATTCTGTTATTGACAATTAAATGAGATTATTCCAGCAAAGAGTTCATGGCACTGCCAAAAAAAAGGTGTTCAATCAGTGGTAGCTGTTAGTAGAGAATTTATGGTTGCAGAAACCAAGGTAAGTAATTGTTCCAAGGTTGCCCAGCTGACTCATGTCTGTCCCACCAGAAGCCAACTTTCTTTCTTCTATACCAGTGGTTCTCAACTGGGGCAATTTTTTTCCCTAGTGCATATTTGGCAGTGTCTGAAGGCATTTTTGCTTTTCACCACTGTAAGTGTGGGGTGCTACTGTCATCTAGTGGGTAGAGGCCAAGAATGCCATTAAACATCCTACAATGTACAGGTTGGCATAAACCCCCCACCCCTCAAAAAAGACTTGCACAGCCCCCAAAGTCAATAGTGTTGTGGATGAGAAACTGTGCCCTATATCATGGTGCTATCTTAAATAAGCCTTACCTTAGAATCAATACTAAAACTGGTTCTAGCAGATTGTCTGAAGTCAGAATCACATGCTTTGAAAACAGTGATAGAGGGGTGCCTGGGTGGCTCAGTCAGTTGGGCGTCTGCCTTCAGCTCAGCTCCTGATCTCGGGGTCCTGAGATTGAGCCCCACGTCAAGCTCCTTGCTCAGCAGGGAGTCTACTTCTCCCTCTCCCTCTGTCCCTCCCCACCACTCACGCTCTGTCTCTCTCCCTCTCTGTCTCAAATAAATTAAAAAAAAAAATCTTAAAAAAAAAAAAAAGAAAACAGTGATAGGTCAGGCATTTCTGGCCTCCTTTAGAACATACCCAATGGCCAGATTTCTTTCTTCAGAGACTGGATGAAGCTAGGAGGGCTGCATGCGTGAAGCCCTCCAAACCAAGATGCAGGACAAGCTGCCCTCCCTCCAGTGACCTTTCTGCTTTCAAGTGGGGTGGCCATCATGAGTTAACAGACATGTCATGGTCCAAGGTACCAGGACTCTGCACAGGCCATTCTACTGAATCCTTCTAAGGACTCCCTAGACAATGGGACACATACCCCCATTTTAGCCCCAAAGAAATGGATCTTTCAAGGGGCAGTTCCAAGTGTGTTGCTTCTGAGTGTCCAGTGCAGAAAAGTAAAAGACAGAAGTTCAAATCCCAGCTCAATCTTGGAGTTACTATGTGACCATGGCAATTTCTTCTCCTTTTCTGAGCCTGCTTCCCAACCTGTAAGAACAAAGAGGCAACATAACCTCCAAGGCAAAGTAAAATTTGGGGCTGTGTTGGCATACAGACTTAGGCTCAAACCCAGCTCTTTCATTGATTATCTTGAGCCCCCAGGCAAGTGACTTTCCCTTTCTGGGTTTCAGTTTCCCCATCTGTACATGGGACAATCCTAGCTTCCTGTTCACAGGGTTGTAGTAAGGTATAATTGAAATCATACAAACAATTTAGCATAGTACCTAGTGTATATAATCCCTCAAAAAATGAAAACTTTCTTTGTTGATTATCTGAGACTCTTCTAATCCTAAAATATCTTGGTTCCATGATATGTAACACCAGGAGGAACCAAAAGTAATGGCCCTCAATTGAGGGATGGGGCAGGGACTTCTAGGGCATCTCTGAATCGCCTCCCAACCTTCCCCTGCCCTTAAGACCAGGTTCTAGGCCTATATTCTTCTCCTCCTGCTGGCAGCATCTGGGATTACAACCTGGACGGTACCACCAATGGGCCCTGGGTCTGGGCGGAGGAGAGGAGTTTATTCCAATAACTAGGACACCAAGGGTTGGACAGGATCATCCCTTGCCCTTTGCCATGAGAGCTGCCATTTGTAAAAACACTGTTTGCCTGGCAAGGAGCAAGGTGTTTCCCCTTATGAGCTTATTTAATCAGCTTTTTTGCCCATGAAGAACTAGAGGCTTTGAAAATTTGAGTGACTTGGCTATGGTCACATAGTTGGACATAAGGTTGCCAAATTGTGGTAGGCTGAATAATAGCACCCCAAAAAAATCCTTGTCCTAATCTTCGGAGCCTGTTATTATCTTATCGAATATGATAAAAGGAACTTTGAAGATGTGATTAAGTTAAGGATCTCGAGATGGGAGATAACCCTAGATTATCTGGGTGGGCCCAATGTAATCACAAGAGTCTTTATAAGAGGGAGGCAGGACACATTGTATCTGTAGTCAATGATATGTATTGTACACTTAAAAACTTGTTAAGAGGGTAGATCTCATGTTAAGTGCTCTTGCCACAAGAAAAATTTTAAAAAATTTAAAAGAGGAAGTCAGGAGGATCAGAGTCAGTAGTAGATGTGCCAACAAAAGTAAGAGGCTGAAGTGATTTGAGGCATGAACTGTGAGCTGTGGATTGCACCTTAAAAAGGTAAAAAAAAAAAAAAAAAGGATTCCTCCCTTAAAGTCCCCAGAGACAATGCATCCCTATCAACACCTTGATTTTAGACTTCCCACCTGCAGAACTATACAAGAATAAATTTGTGTTGTTTCAAGTCACCACATTTGCAACAATTTGTTACAGAAGCAATAGGAAACTAATACATAGATTTTGGGGAAAAACCCCCAAACAAACAAAACACAGGGTATCCAGTTAAATTTGAATTGCTGATAGATAATACATTTTTTAGTATAAGTATATCCCAAATGTTGCATGAGCCATACTTACACTTAAAAAGAAATTGTTGTTTATCTGAAATTTAAATTTAACTGAGTGCTCTGTATTTTATCCTAGAAGTGGTGGAGCCAGAGCAGGAGTCAAAACTTAAAACTCTCAGGCTCCCCTACTTTCCTCAACAATCTGGGATCTGGCAGAAATTGCCATGTTCTCGCGGGCCTCATGGGTCAGTTGCAATCTCCCAGAGCTCCTCTTGCCTCTGGGGTCGGGAAAGGAAGGGATTGTTTAAGGTCATCTCTTGGATACACCTTTGAGCTCCCAGTCCTCCCAGGCCACAGAATTTCTCTCTAGAAATGGTTTTGTGTCTTTACTCTGCTCGAGACAGCGACCGAGGAGCTTTGTCTCAAAGCCGTAGTTGCATGAAAGAAATCTATGTTGGGGCGGGGGTGGGGGTGATGGTGCTGGAGTTTAATGAACTGGGGGTGGGGCAGGAACACCTTTTTTCAAGCTACCACTTTTTGAAGGGGACTTTATGAGCCCCAAAGCAGGACACAAGTAATTATTCAATGGGGCTTTCAAAGCAAGAATCATGTTACATATGAGGAAACTGAGGCCTGCGGTCACTCAGCTACAGACAGACAGATGTCCTCTGGATGGGCATCTACCCCTTTGCAGCCCCCTGTCCCGATGGCAGCTGCGGTGGGAAGAATCCTGGAATGCCAATCCCGAGGTCTAGGTTGGAAACCCTTTACACTTCATTGACTGTCAATTTCCTTCCTTGAAAGAGGGGGATTCCATAAAGACGAGGATTCAGTAAGACAGTGTATATAAAACGCCAGGTACACGGTGGCATGTTTCTTTCCGTCTTTCTCCGGGGCCTCATTCTCCCTGACCCTCCCGACTAGCCTCTCCGCCGGCCGGACTCCCCCAGCGCGCAGACTTGGCCGCTAGGTGGGGACAGAGCGCCGGCACTGCGGCGAGATGTGCACATGCGCACTCACGGGCGGTGCCTCGCCTTCCCACGTCCCGCGGACGTCACTTCCGGCGCGAGGGGCCGGGCCGGCCGGGCAGGGAGTGCGGGTCGGTTCAGTGCGCGCTGCCGGACGAGGCTCCCGCTGCCGATAGACCCGCGCTCCGCCCCGTAGCCCGGCCGGTGAGTGCCCACGAGTCCTCCCGTGTGTCGTGGGGGTTGGGGAGAGGGACCCCTGAGAGGGAGGAATAACCGGAAGTTAAGGGACTCAAGGAGAGAGACCCCAGGAAATGGGGACACCTGGGGAAGGGGTGACAGCCGGAAGTGGGGGGCCTCAGAAGGTTGTCGACGGGACATGGGGTCTCTGGGGCTCCGGGAGCGATGGCTTTCTGGCCTCTTGGTGGGGTGGGGAGGAAAGCGATGTCACAACATGATGGGCTGCAGGTGAGGAAGATTCCAGACTTCACGGTAACAAATGGTATTTGCCCCCATCCATACGCCCATCCATCATTTCATTCTCGAGACCGAGTCCTGCTCTGAGCCTGACACTACCGAGGCCCTGGAGATTAATCAGGAAGCTCCAGGTGGAGGGTAGGGCCCGGTGTGGGGCTAGACACATCCTCGACTAGGTGTGTACCCTCCGGCACATCACTTAACCTCCTATCGTCCGCTAATATTTACAGAACACCGTCATGTGCCAGGCTAGGCCTATAGCCTATGGACACTACAGTCTGTCTCCCAGGTAAGCACTGGATTGGGATTACAGGCATCTGTTGGTGACTCCCATGGAAACAGCCCAGGGTGGGTCCTGTGAACCGTGATTGTTGTTTAATTCCTCACTTAGCATTCCTCTACCAGGCGGATTCAACTCATTCAGCAAATATTTATGGAGTGCAGACTATGCGTCTGACACTTTTGTTAGGTGATGGGTTTAAGGTGATGAACAAGACAGATATGGATGTTGCTCGCAAATTGCCTACAGACAATTACAACAGAGGGAGAGTGCTATGCCAAAGAGCTCCTGGTAGGGAGGCTCCTACCCTGGTCTGGAGGTTGGAGAAGGCTTCCTTCTTCAGGCACCATCATCTCTTACCTGGGTTACTGCAGTAGCCTCTGAATGGTCTCTTTACTTCTGTCCTTATCCCCTTACAATCCATTTGCTAGACAGTCGAGCAATCCTTTAAAATAGAAATCAGATCGTGTCACTCTACTCAGATGGGTCCCACCAAACTCAGTAAAAGTCAGAGTTCTTACTGGCTCTCAAAGCCCTGTACCATTGGGGCCCCCGGGACCTCTATAAGTTCATCTGCTAATATTCTCCACCTTGTTGATTTGGCTCTAGCCATACTGGCCTCCTCGCTGTTCTTTGAAAAAGCCAGGCGTGTTTCTGCCTCTGGCTTTGCCCTTGTTCTCCCAGATGTCTGCATAGCTTGCTCCCTCATCTCCATCTTTCTTCAAATTTCATTTGCGTGAACAAATCATCCCTGACCATCCTATTTAAAATTGCAATCCCTATTCCCAAGTACATCCAACCCTTTTCCCTGCTTTATTTCTCCCCATAGCACTTTTTTTTTTTTAAGATTTTATTTATTTATTTGACAGAGAGAGAGAGACACAGGGGGAACACAAGCAGGGGGAATGGGAGAGGGAGAAGCAGGCTCCCGGCCGAGCAAGGAGCCCGATGCGGGGCTCGATCCCAGGACCCTGGGATCATGACCTGAGCCAAAGGCAGACGCTTAACGACTGAGCCACCCAGGCACCCCATCCCCATAGCACTTTCATCTGGTTATTATACAGTTTATCTTGCTTATAGTCTCCCTCTCCCACTAGAATCTAAGTTCAACAAAGGCACTATTTTTTGTAGTTGTTCACTGATGTACCTTCAGTGCCTGGAAGAGGGCCTGGTACATAGTAAAGTACTAGGTATTTGTTGAATGCATGAAGTGGCATCTAATTGGGACTTAAGGATGAATCAGTATTGATCAGGTGAAGAACTGGAGGAAGAACAAGCTAGCCAGAGGAAACAGGATGTGAACAAGACAAGAAAACACAGCTTTGGGAGGAAGTGAAAGCAGCTGGGTGGGGCTGGAGGTTAGAATGCAAGGAACAGAGTGGGCAGACCTAAGATTTAGGGGGAGTGACCTGGGCACTGGCTACGTGCAGAGACCCCTGAGATGGTCCCTGCTCTCCTTGAGCTCGGAGTCAGGGACCAGTGGTAGTCTGTGGACAAGAGCTTGGGCTTTGGAACTGGACAGCTGCTGCTACCTTATTCTTGGGATATCTAAAGCAGCTGTTTTGTTTTTGTCTTTTATTCAATAAATGTGTTCAGATCCTTCAAGAAGCAGACACCGGGGTGAGATTAGGCATGCAAGAAATTAATTGGAGGCAGCACCTGTGAAGCAGGAAAGGGAGGGGAGCTGCAGAAGTCAGAGCCTTTAGACAAGGATAGAGGAGTTCAGCCCCCCGGGAAGGAGGTTTGGACAGGGAGTCATGGACTGCAGGGCAGTTCCCCGGGAAGGTTCAGGCTGAGCCTCAAGGCAAAGTTGCCTGTTAGAAGAGGCCCACATTTCATTCAGTCATTGGCTGGGGACAGTCTGGAAAGTGGCATCCACTGGATGGAGGATCCAGAGGGATAGCAACTGGGGCCATGCATCAGTTATGCTCCATCCCCGAGAGAGAGCCAGTCAGCCCGGTTTCACAGCCATCATGATAAGTCATGTGTGTATATAGTGAAAAAGTCAAACAGCACAGTAAAAAGTCTCTCTCCCTCCTTAAATGTCCTGTTGTCCAGTACTCTTCCCTAGAGGGAACCACTGGTAACAGTTTATTTCCTTACAGAAATTTTAGGTGCACTCAGTATATAGGTATATATTTTTAAAAATATGAGATTATTTTATGCACACTGTTCTGCAACTTGCTTTCTTTTCCTTAGTTTGTCAGTTCATAAAAGCCTGCCTAATTCCTTTTCATGAGTGAATAGTATCCCATACTTAGGATCATATTATTTAACCAGTCTCCAACTGATATGCAGTTAAAGTATTTCCTATCTTTTCCCATCATAATCAATACTTGAAGTGATCATCCTTGTGTGTGTATTTTGCGCACACACACAAGTATATGTCCTCGAAGCAGGATGCTGAGCCGAAGGGTGTGTGGTTTTAAACTTTGGTAGATATCGCCAAACTGCCCCCTGAAGAGGCTAGGCCAATTTATTCTCTGACCCACAGCAAGCATCTCCGCGCCCAATTTTGTACTTTTGCCAATCTGACTTTCAGAGTTGTTTTAGTTCACATTTCTCGAATTACAAGTAGGTCGAACAAGCATTCGTACATCTGTAAGCAAGGCCATGGCGTTGGGTGAGGACTGTGTGTGTCCTGCTGCGGCTGCTCGGGGTCCTCGGTGGGGTCCTCCATTCAGTCTGGGGTGGGACCTGGGCACGGGCTTCCGAGCCACTTCATTCCAGCTGAGAACCCCCAAGCTGACAGAAGCACCCCCCACCACATGGTGCTGCCCTGAAATGAGTGGCGCTGGGCTTCATTCACTGGGCTCGGGGTTCGTGTTTTGGCAGGAAACCTGGTAGCTAATGTCAGAAGAAAGTGACTCTCTGCGAACCAGCCCCTCTGTGGCCTCGCTCTCGGAAAATGAGCTGCCGCCACCGGCCGAGCCTCCCGGCTACGTGTGCTCGCTGACAGAAGACCTGGTCACCAAAGCCAGGGAGGAGCTGCAGGAGAAGCCCGAATGGAGACTTCGAGACGTGCAGGCCCTCCGTGACATGGTGCGGAAGGAGTGCCCGAACCTGAGCACCTCCCTGGACGACGCCTTCCTGCTACGCTTCCTCCGAGCCCGCAAGTTCGATTACGACCGGGCCCTGCAGCTCCTGGTCAACTACCACAGCTGCAGGAGAAGCTGGCCCGAGGTCTTCAACAACCTGAAGCCGTCGGCCTTAAAGGATGTCCTCGCTTCTGGATTCCTCACCGTGCTGCCCCACACCGACCCCCGGGGCTGCCATATCCTCTGCATGCGCCCAGGTATTGCCCGAGACGGTCGGCAGGTGCCTGCATGCCCGGCTCTGTGTGGGATGCGTGTGCCCCGCACCCTCTCTCCCTCACCTTTTCCTGTTTGCCTTCTCCCCTGTTTAGTCAAAGCTCTTTGGATGACAAATGACAAAAAGCTACTCAACCCAGCTTAGGAAAAAGGGGAGGAATTAGTCTAATGAAACAGGAGCATCCCACAGAACCAGGGAGCTGAAAGTGTAGCCGCTTTCCCGGGGCCCCAGGCCCCAGAACCAGAATCCAGTTTGTTCCCCCATCAGGACCTCAGCCAGCCATTCCCCCCGTCTCTGCCTCTATCAATCTGTGTATTTCTCTGGGCCACACATTTGTGCTGTGCTATGCATATCTTCTTCGCTCTTCTTCCTGTAGATTGGCTTTTGCTGCCTCTGTGGCCCTGGCAAGATCTCCTACCCCTTAGTGCCCAGGCTTCCTGGGCCACCCAGTCAAGTTCCTCCGTGCAAATTCCCGAGTTCTAGCGTTGAGAATCTGCCCTGGTCATAGGGTACGAGCAGGCCTGCCCCGTCCCTCCTTTGTTAGTGGGTGAAGCAGGCATCCATGGGGGCTGGGCGGACAACTGGAAGGGTGTCCGTCCACCGTGTGCCTCTTCTCCTCTCCCTCCTTTCCTCTACTTGGTTAAGCCATTGATTCACTTTTCGATCTCAGCACTTACTGATGGTAATCAGCACATCTTACATTTCCCTGGCAGTAGCTTTAATTAGGGGCGCCGAATGCGCTATCAACTCAGGAATGAAGGAGCGTTGTCCACGGGTTCCCACCCCCACGGCCTTAACATTCTCCATCAGACCAGAGCAGAGACAAAATATGAAACTAAAATTGCAGTGTTCTCCCAACCAAGCCAGGATCAGGAGAACATGCCTGCCGGCAGCCCTCTTCTGCTCACTCGTACCTAGTCCTCTTGGAGGGACGCCTAATGGGGAGTGGTGACCTCCCTGCGCTTTTCCTCTGCCTTTAAAGCCACATCGCCATCACTTTGGTCATTTACCAAACCCTTTTTGGAGACTAAACCATCCTCTTGAGCCTTTACTGTGTACCAGGCACAGTGTTAACTGCTTTACTGCTGTTTTAGGCCCTTTCCAAAATTAGGGTTGTTTTATTTTAAAATAAGCAACGCAGTGGAGATTTTAGAGCACCAGGAGACCTAGGAACCAGTCAGCAGGTTTTTTTCTGCTACTTCTCTGTACTCAACTCATAAGGATATTACAAAACAGATTAGCACACTGGTTTCACCTCTTTGCTTGTGTGGTTTCAACCCTTTGCTTGCACGATTTCAACCCTTTGCTTGTGAGATGACTTTTCCCCCCATGTGTCTGGAGCAGAACTAGACCCCTCCCCACCGACGCAACTCTTTAGGAGGAGGCATACTGAGAAGGTTTTGTTCTCAACTGGGTATTAGCTTTGCCTCTTTGGGGACATATGTTATTGAAAAGGATGACGTTCAGTTATGTAGAAGCAGGTTTAGTTGGCAGGAACATTCAACAGCAAGCTGGCACAGCTTTTGGACAAAGATTTTGTTCATAGGAATTTTGCACATATTACATGTCCCCTTGGTGGTGGCAGTCATGTGGAGTTTTGTCTTCCTAAGAAAAGGACCCACAGGTGGGATTTTCTTGAGAATAGCAGTTAACAGTCAAAAGTGTCATTTCCATCTTCTTCCCAGGGAAAGGAAGGATTCCTTAAATATATGGGGAATACTAAGGGAGCATCTGGCCCAGAAAGGGGATGTGGCACAAAGCACAGCACTGGAAAACTGTCTCCATCTCTGTCTTCCTTGGCACATGCTTCATTCTCAGGCCAGCCCTTGCCTCCTGGGGCCCCTGAGTCTCAAGCTCCCAGCCTCATCAATACAAGAGGGAAGAGGGATCTTTTCTTTCCAAAGGGCCGTGATCACAGAACTGAGTCCCCTTGGCTCTGTTTGATCAGGCTTGGGTCACACACTGTGGCCAGGAGGATGTAAGACCCGATTGACCACGCCCACCCCTGCAGCCAGGAGGCAGGTCAGTGGTACCCAAACCGCAAGGTTAGCGTGGGAAGAGGTGGCTCAGGGCAGTGGTATGAAAATCTGGGCACGTATCTGTTGGCAGATGGCACAGATGTCCATTAAGGTTAGTATTACTATCCCATTCTACTTCTGAGGAGATGCGGGCTCAGAGTGAGGAGGTAACTCACACAGCTAGTAAGATTCCAACCTCCCCCGTCCCCGTGTGTCTGACTTCAGAGCTCAGGCTTTTAACTTCAGCACTCAATTGCATTTCCTTTTCAGAATGTGCTGCTTGCTCCCTTTGGAATTAACATCAGCTGCTGCTAAGGTGTCCCATTTACTAACCTAAATAGAGTCATGCCAGTAGAGTATCTTTCTTTCCATTTTTAAACAAGAGTTCTAGCAAGGAGATAAATCTTAGCCTGTGAAGACTTGTTTGTATTCACCTCTGTAACGTTCTGTCCGTTTCTTACGACCTCAGACAGATGGATACCAAGCAACTATCCAATTACCGAAAACATCCGAGCCATATACTTGACATTAGAAAAACTCATTCAGTCTGAAGAAACCCAGGTGAATGGAATTGTAATTCTTGCAGACTACAAAGGAGTGAGCTTATCAAAAGCATCTCACTTTGGCCCTTTTATAGCCAAAAAGGTGATTGGCATCCTTCAGGTATGGCCCCTGTTTGTCGTGTGCCTGTTCCGTGGCGGTTTGGGCTTTCCCCGGGGGGCCTTGTTTGTTCACTGCCGGTCCCACATGATACACAAACCCCACTTCTCCTACAATCCGACAGATACAAAAGCATTATGGGAAGAAATGTAAATGTCCTATTTACCACTTATTCTCATAAGGTTCTCCCATAGTTTCTGAGGTCCCTTCAGTCTGGGCAGGATCAGCTTTAGGGCAAGAGCCCAAACAGCCAGAAAAATGCTTTCTGCATGTTTTTTTCCTTTTTCTTTTTTTTTTCTTTCTCCAGAAGATAGAGGAGCAATTCTAACAAATGAAACTGAGAATTTGTGTTTCTGGCTGATATGCTAGATCCGGTCCCGCCCTCTGGGACCTGGGGATGGGGAGCCTGCTGTACTGTTGTGGATAGACGCTTTCACATCTCAGGTGTTATGTGTTTTTTTGTTTTTTTAGAGAGAGCGCGCCCACGCACGCACGTGCACGGGGTAGGGCAGAGGGAGAGAATCTCAGGCAGACTCCATCCCCGGTGCAGAGTCCCAAGGCAGGGCTTGATCTCATGACCCTGAGATCATGACCTGAGCCGACATCAAGAGTCGGAGGATGCTCAACTGACTCAGCCACCCAGGCACCCCCATGTTCTGTGTTTTAGAACACAGGTGCGGGGCAACCCTCTCAGGTCCCCTCCCTCTTCAGGAGCTTTGTACTATCATTTTGCTATTGCTCAATAAACCTTGCTTTGCTGCCCACCAAAAAAAAAAAAAAAAAAGAACCCAAGTGTGGGGAACCAGAAAGTTCCTCCCGTATGTGCACAATGTTCAATAGTTTGCAAAGTGCTTTCACAGTCATTATAACTCATTCAGTCCTGCAGGGACTTGTCTGAGATAAACAAGGCAAAGATTATGTTTTCTTTTTAGTACATGTGCTGCTGAAGTGAGCACGAATTACTTTTCCATTTTGATGGATGGGGACACAGCCCTTGCAGGGATAGCCTGGCCTGAGTCTCACGGCTCTAACCGTTTTGGCTCCTCATTCCCTCTGGCCAGCCCGTGGGTGCTGTCTCGTGAGCTGTGGGGCACCAGAGATACAGCAGTTTCCTCTGTGAATCCCACAATGCCTGTGAGCCCCCAACTGGGTGCCAGGCTGATCATTTAAACATCAGCATCACGTTTGGTCATTATCGGAAATGCGGAGCCAATACTCTGGCTTCCCTTAGCTTCCACTCTTCTTTCGATGCCCCTGCGTGGATTTGTCTGCATAGATTCCAGTATCAGGAGAAGGAGTTTGGATCTGTGTTTTCTAGTCTTCTAAGGTGATCTGGGGGGAGAAAGTTCCAGGGTTAAATAAGTCTGGGAAATGTGGTATAGCATGTCCCTTTCTTGAGAAAGTGACTGTGAACATTTGCACAGGACAGTCCTGCAGTGAAGGAAACCCATGTGACTACATAGCGTGCTATTCTCCAACTTCTTTACCTACCATGGAGCCTTTTTTGCATCACACCTAGTACCGTCCTGAAAAATACCCTTTGGCAACACCGATCCTGAAGGTCTGATGTTTGCTAGATCCGTCCACACAGGCTCTCGTTTTTGTTTTTTGTCTTGGTTTGGTTTGTTTTTTTTTGCCACAAGAGGAGCAGCTCTTCACTTGTTGGCCTAAGTTTAGGCCCCAAGAAAGACTCTCTCTCTCTCTGAGGCTTGTCTTCCTGGTTAGCTCCCATGTGGGCTGGCTTTGAGGAGGCCATGAGAGTCAGGCCAAACTGATTTGGGGGCCTGAAGAAGATATAAAGGAGGAAGGCAGCTGTGGACAGTCTGTGGGTGCCCCACGTGTTCTAACTTCTCCTTCCCCTCCCCCGCAGGATGGCTTCCCCATTCGGATAAAAGCAGTGCATGTAGTGAATGAACCTCGAATATTTAAAGGCATTTTTGCCATCATAAAACCATTTCTGAAGGAGAAAATAGCAAACAGAGTAAGTGATGATTCTATTGACTTGTTTTTTTTTTTTTTTTGCTCCCTTATTTGTGACATCAATAAACTTCTCTTAGTTTATTATTTTTGCCCTGGGATGATTAATTTGGAAAGTACAGAGTTACAGATAAAATAAGTGAACAATCCTTTCTGTGAAAAGAAGATAAAATGAATAGGATATAATATTTGACAGGAGAGAGCAGAGGAGGTAGCTCTCAAAAGAGTTAAAATGCTGTGTAGTCATTTAGACTCTAATATCCTGGCCTGGGCACAGTGAACCAACATTTTATTTCATGTGTGAGAGGACAGGGAGAAGGGTAGTATTGGGCAGGTAGTTAAAAAGTTGTGATTTCTTACTACAGCTCCTTGGGGTTTAAAAATGCTGTTTTACGCCCTTCTATTTACCTGATTTGTTGTCTTGCTATATCAAGTTTGTGGGATAATTCATGGTTTATGAGATAAGTGAGTTTTAGCTTACCTGTCGTTTAAGAAAGTATAGATGGCACTTTGAAAGATGATCCTCTCTGACCTAGAAGAGCCACTTCTCAACCTTTGCTAGTACTGTGATCACATGTGATGAGTGGTATTTTTCTCCTTCTTCCCTAGGCCTAGGAACATTGTGGTCCCTCCAGAGACTGGGTCTTGAATTTTGTACTTTTTCAAAGAGGAAACAGAGAGAGAATCTCAAAGTTGCAAGGGAAGGAATTTAAAATACAGACAGGGGGCACCTGGCTGGCTCAGTTGGTGGAATGTGCTACTCTTGATCTCAGGGTTGTAAGTCCGAGCCCCATGTTGGGTATAGAGATTAATGAAAATCTTTACTAAAATAAATCAAATCCAGATTCCCAGGCCCTTTCCCTGAAGATTTTTTTTTTTAAAGAATCTGTACCTTCCACTCTACTGAAACCGTTTTGTTTTTTTTTTTTTTTTAAGATTTTATTTATTTATTTGACAGAGAGAGCGAGCGAGAGAGGGAACACAAGCAGGGGGAGTGGGAGAGGGAGAAGCAGACTCCCTGCTGAGCAGGGGGCGCGATGCAGGGCTCGATCCCAGGACCTCGGGATCATGACCTGAGCTGAAGGCAGACACTTAACGACTGAGCCACCCAGGCACCTCTCCCTGAAGATTTTAACTCCAGTTCAGGGGTGGAGCCAAAGAGTTTGTACTTTTAAAATCTTATGTGATTCTGATGCACAGTCAGGTTGGAGAACTGCTAATTTAGTGGCATCCCTGCCTGGGTTTGAACCTATCTTAGTACCTGGAGATCCTGTTTGGAACCTGCTTTTAAAGCCAAAGCAGTCTTTGGAACAGGCCTTTTTTATCTATGAAATGACCTTATTTGTGGTCCATAATCTTGTTCATTTCGTCTTTCATATGTTCATTCATTCTTTCAAAAATATTTATCAACTACTGTGCACAAGTATGTTCTAGATGAACAACATAGACCAAAATCTCTGCCCCTCCCCCCCCGGGGGAGCTTACATGCTAGAGACACAGACAGTGGATGTATATTATCTAGTATTAAGATGTGATAAGTGCTGTGGAGAAAAAATAAGCAGAGAAAGGGGCCAGTACAGGACAGGGGCAAGGGGTTGTAGCATCCAGTAGGGGGGTTAGGGATGGCGTCGCAGAGAAGCTGGCCTTTGAGCAGACTTGGCAGAGGTGAGGGTGAGCGCTTACAGATCTCGGAGGACCAACAGCGGCACCGCCCCCCAGGTGGGAGCACATTGGGCGGGAGCACATCGGGCGTGCAGGAGCAGCAGCAGAGGGAAGGGGACGGAGGGACGGAGGGGCGGAGGGGCAGCGTGCGGACTTCGGCTTCTGGCGCGCGTGAGGTGGGAGCACCCCGGCCTCTGGCGCGCGTGAGGTGGGAGCACTCCGGCCTCGGCGCGCGAGAGGTGGGAGCACTGGCAGGCTGCGCGGAAAGGAGTGGCATGATCTGACTGGCACCGAGAAGAGCTGAGACTGCAGAACAGGCTGCGAGTAGGGAAACCAGGCTGAGGCTGTCGTGGGAACCCAGGGGAGAAGTGGGGGTGACAGGGTTCCATGAGGTGGGCCACAGAGTGGTTGGATCCTGGATGTCTTTTGAAGGAGCAGCCAACAGAGCATGGGATGTAGGAAGGGAATTAAGCATCCTCAAGCTTTTCGAGGAACTGGAAGGGTCCAGTTGCCATCAGCTGTTCTTTTATTCATTCAACAGATGGTTGAGCACCTACCTGGCCTTCAGGTGACTGATACTGATTAACCTGAGAGCACATGTGTTTCCATTTCCCCTTTAGTTCTTCCTCCACGGGTCCAACCTGAACTCTCTGCACACAAGTCTTCCCAGAAGCATTCTCCCCAAGGAGTATGGGGGCACGGCTGGAGAGCTGGACATCACTGCCTGGAATGCAGTGCTGCTGGCCTCGGAGGAGGACTTCGTGAGAGAGTTCTGCCAACCTGTCCCTGTCTGCGACAGCATCCTGGGCCAGGCCCCGCCTCCTGAGGGTCTGACCCCAGATGCGCAGTGTGATGATTCTCTGCGGGCCGTGAAATCACAGCTCTACTCCTGCTATTAGCCAGTCCCCTGTGAGTGCCGCCATCTTTAAATCCTTTCCTTTTTCTTTGGCGAGGCACAAGGAGAGTCTGAGGTGCCATGGAGTCTGTCTTGCTCCTTGTAATTAAACTGCAGCCTGTAGAGCTCTGAGGGTAAGCCATGGGGTAAGCCCTTGGTGACTCTTGAATTAATCCATGGAAGATATGGAAAATGTCCCCAGTGATTCCCAAACGTTTGGAATCCCAGTTTGCAACCATAATCTGGAAGCTGTATCTGGTTCTTAGAGATCTTGGGAACAAGAAAAATCAGGACCAAAGTCATTTTGGTTCCACATTCCAGGAGAAAACCACCTGATCAGCACACTCCTATGAAAGAACCTGGCCGAGCCTACAAGGTGGCCACACCAGGAGACTTTGGGAGTTTGTGTCTTTCACCTGAACCCTAACTACAGACTTGTGTTGCTCATCAGGAAATTTCTAGTTTGAGGCCCAGGCCCCAGCTGCCACACTGGGTTTGGAAAGCACCTTAATCAAATCATCATGGGAGCATCAGGACATAAGCAGCACTTCCTGATCAAATTTGGGAGCCAGAGACTTGAAAGTACCTCTGGGATTCACTGACTGACTCTTGCAATGGAAACTGAAGTTTTCCCCAAACCTATAAAGCCTTAGCCCTGGTTCTCAATAGAATCATACAGGATCCTAGAGGTATGTGATTTTACTCAGTCTAAAACGCTAGATGCCAGGCCTGAGGAGCTAAAAGAATTCTGGCCCAGGAATGAAGAGAGCAGGGCTTCAGCCCCAGAAGTGCGACCCTGGACAAGACCTGGGCCTCTGTGGGCCTCAGCCTTCTCATCTATAAAATGAAGCAGGATGAAATGATGCCTAGGGCCTTGACTGCTGACGTTCTGGGATTTGGTTTAGTTATTGAATGCTAGACAATGGTTTTCTGCCTAGAAAAATGGCTCTCTAGAGGCAAGTGGTTGGATCCTGCTTTTTTTGTGGTACACCAGGGTCTTCCCAAGAGGCATGTATTACCAATTGGCCCTGCCATTAAGGAAAGTAATATGTGTATTCCTGGGACCTGGCAACAGCCAACTTCCTTTTTGTAGGAAGGGTTAAACTGGAAAAGGGCAGGTGAAATGACCAGGGTTCATGTGAATTCCTTCTATCCCCAAGGCTCTGGCGGTACACTGGAAACCTGGGAGCAGGGAATGGCTAAATTACTTGGGATTCTTAAATTTTGGTCTCTGGAAACGAATGCACGAGCGGGTCATCGCTGGATCACTTCTGGGGCCCCCGCCCTCCCAGATACGCTTGCATTTCTCTCTGGTGTGGGCGGACTGACTTGAGTCTAGCCAGTGAGACCAAATGTTAGTTCTCCGTTTCAGCACTTTAGACCCTTCCTGTCAAAACTTCAGCCTTAGCCCAACCATCCAACTAGGTGGTTCAGCTGGTGGCTTTTGACCGATTTCCTTTCGTATTCATTCCTTGAAAATTATGGCATTAAAAAGCGACAAGTTACTATGTGTTGTCTAAGTACCTTCTCCATGCATTTATTTATGAGGCCACCGGGCAAGGGGACAACAGCTCAGGTAGGAAGAGGACAGTGCTCTGAAAGGCAGAGGCCAGTCTATTGTTAATAAGCTCTTCATAATCATAGCACTGTTTAAAATGCATGGAGAAGTTGGTGGTGAAAATGATTCACTTCATTAGTGCCAACTCCAGGGAAGGCTCTTCCCTGTAGATACTAACCCTGGATCCTCTAGGACCTGGCAGAGCTGGAAGTGCCAGCATGCAGACCCCTGGCAGCCTCCAGTTCCATCTGCCAAGGACAGTGTGACCAGCACTGCTGAAAAGATCTCAGTAGCACAAGTAGGATGGCTCAAGTAGAAGGTTCAGAACCCAACTGCTTGGACGTGGGAATTGGTTAGAGGTGATTTTCAACCTCAAAGAGGAAAGAGAGATTAAAAAACAAAACCACCACCACCCCCAAGCTAGATAGAGGGAGAAATGAACTGTTCAGCCCCACTGAGTTTCCCAGTGTACACGTTGCACTGCGTTCCTGGCCAGTTTTGCCCGTGTCCATTTGACTTTAAAAGCTTGCGTGTGTGTAAGCTCACCTAGACAAGTATCTCCAAGACCGGGATGTTGCCCATTTCCTAGACCTTTCCAGTTGGCCCAAGGAGTCAGAGCCAAGATTTGTCTGCCTTCTGCAGCTGCTGTGTTTTATTTTGGTTCCAAAGAGAGATCAAATAGTTTGGACACCTCAGGGGGTTTGAACCAAGCTGTGAAAGCAGGACCTCCCTGGGTGAAAATCAAGGCAGTTTCTGTGCAGCTTCACCAGGCGTCTGTATAGAGCTGCCCCAGCGGGGTGGGGGAATGACAAAGGGACCAAGGGAGCCTGATTCAGGAGCGGGGTACACTGATGGGACAAACAAGTGAGCACAGGGAGAACTGGGAGTGTTTTCCTTCAGGGAAAGGTTCTGGCCTATTTCACAAACATCTGAAAAGTAACTTTTCCCTTAATTCAGGGTACTATGGTATAGGAAAGGGAAAGGAGGAGTGTACCAGGAGACCTGAGTTCTGGCTTTACACTGCTGTGGCCTTGGATGAGCCACTGAACACCCCTCAATCACATGATAAAAGGGATCCCCACTCTGAGCTCTGAACCCTCTATTTTAGGCATCATTTGGCTTTACTGCCAGAGGGACATTGTAGTCTACCTTTTAGAGGCCTTTTTCTTTTTTTCCCCCATCTGGATTACTTTATAGGAAATGTAGGTCTGAATGAACTGACATCTGAAGCTCCCAAATGAATCTGTAAGCTTAGGTAATATGGGGGTTTTCTTCCTCTTCTCTTCTATAGAATCTGGAAAATTATGCCTCTTCCTGGAATCCTGTTCTACCTTCACGGAGAGAGGCTGGAAGAAATGTGCAGAAACAACTGTGCAACTCTGGCTTCCTCTCCCGAGCTTACCTGCTTTGGGCAGAAGTGGCTTTAGCTTCCCCATACTTCATCTCGTTTTCACAAGGAGCCACTTGTCCTTAGAGGTTTACAAACAGTTCAGCTTGTAAGATACTACATTTCTGCCAGACTCAGAGGACAGGAAGAGGTATTTCCCCCCGGATTCCTGTGAGCTACTGAGCCTTTCTGAATTCTCCCGGTGGGCAGGTTCTTTAAATGCCACCGGATTCTCCAATCAGTTACGGGATTGCTTTTTCACTTGGGTAGGCAAAAGCTGTGGTACTGTTGTGGATTATATTACTTCATTTTAAAGTCTTTAGCTTTTAAGGTTTTCCTTTGAAGCCTCTTCTTCCATTGAGGAAGTGAAGTGTTAGCCAAGGTAACGATTGCATCAGTGTGTCTGTTCTGTGGATGTGCGGAGACACCAAACAGAAACATCTCAACTGTTGAGGAAAGAGGTCCGTCTGGTGATGTCTCTCAGTATTGGGACTCGTTAATTTTGTAAATCTAAAGTAAATTCCTTTCTGCTTTCCCGACTCAAAACTGGTTTGCTTGAAATGCAAGGGACAGGTATCATCGGTCAAATATTCCTCCTAACAGAGCTTTCTCCACAGGAAGGCCCGGTGTGACTCGTGGAGGTGCTAGTGATGAACTGGCCGTTTGCCAATTCACTGCTTCTCTTTTGGGCTCACCAGGCAGCACGTTTAGTTGGGCAGAAAGTCAGCTGCTGTTGGGGATTCTTGGGCTATGCGTCCGCCTCTTGGCACATCAGGTGGTAACCTGTCACGGGTGAGATGCCTGAGGCCTCTCAGGGGCCAGGAGCCTCTGATCCCACGCTGACAGGGTGGGAGGCGGGCTGATTTTCTGACCAGACTGGGGCACCATTTCAGCCACTGATCACATTCCTCGCTTCAAACTGAAATTCAGTTTAGCTTTGAGTATATGGACACGTGGTGGTGGATTCATCTACTTCAGTGTTTGTTTTGACCAAAAGTTTATTTTTCTAGTGCATTTTCTACGTCAAAGTGGTGAAAACATGTAATTTTAGTATGCATGACTGGGTCTTAATAAAAATCCTGTAAGGCTGTATGTGTGGAGTTCTTTTGTGACAGTGACCGTTTGGATAAAGGTTCTGAAGTTTTATTATTCATGGTACATGACGGCCCGGGTAGAGCCTCCCTCCAGGTCAGGCAGGGAGAGGCCCCGTGGCAACACATTGCACCTATAGATTTGGGGCTGGCCACCTCTGAAGATCATGCACAATTAGAAGATACCAGTGTAGGGCACCTGGGTGGCTCAGTCGTTGAACGTCTGCCTTCGGCTCAGGTCATGATCCCAGGGTCTTGGGATCGAGCCCCGCATTGAGCCCCGCATCGGGCTCCCTGCTCAGCAGGAAGCCTGCTTCTCCCTCTCCCACTCCCCCTGCTTGTGTTCCCTCTCTCGCTGTGGGTCTCTGTCAAATAAATAAATAAAATCTTAAAAAAAAAAAAGATACCAGTGTATACAAAGAATGGCACTTGATATACACAATGGTATAGACAATATGCAAATTTTTTCAGTTCTTAAGGCCCAGCTGTCCCTTCTAGACTGGCCTTGAATCTTTCGCATAGCTAACAGTTCCCAAGGGCCTGTATGGGCTAGGCATTCATTATGTCAGGTGCTTCACAGAGATAACCCACTTAATCTTAAGTAGTATTCCTGCTCCTGTGGGGGAAATGAGGCCCAGAGAAGTTCAGCAGCTTGCCCAAGGACACACAGTCAAATGTGGAGCTGGGCTTCACAGCCAGGTAGTCAGACTCTAGCCCACTTTCTCCCGATGGTTACAGCCACTGTTTGCCTTTTACTGTCATCCACCCTCCAACAGAACACAGAAGGAAAGGAGGAAAGAATTTTTTTATAGGGGAACAGTGTAGAAATTAGGTTGTTTTCTGGCTTCTTGTAAAATATAAAGCAGAGCTTCTTAACCTCTGAGACTCAGGCTATAACTGAACATTCTGGAAGCACAAGTAAACCCAGACTCCTTGAGGGATAACTAGGTGTGGCTTGACCCAACTGTGGTCCCATGCATGCTTAGCTGTTTCTCTACCTGCTCCCTGTTGGTTTCTATACAGGAGCATGTGGTCTGCCCCACAGGAGACAAAAGCTAGGTGCCTCGGTGGGTCCGGTGTGTTGGTGACAAGTCAGCTGGGAGACCGTCTCATGCAGGACATCCATACACTTACCGCTGACTTTCGATGATGCAACAGGTTAAGTTCTTAACACCGCAACATGCCAGCTCTTGAGGTCAGCCTTCTTCAGGAAGCTGTAGCCCTAAAACTCAGTCCATTTCTCACATCTGGAAGAATGGACTATTGGCTCCAACCAGGGCAGCAGAGTTTTTACAAGCCATGGGAGTTGCTTCTGGTTTGTTTTCTGAAATAACTGTTTTCCGCGATGCCCCCTCCTCACATAGCACTGGTCCGGCACGCCTATAACTGATGCAGAAATGTGTCCTGCTACTGCATTAAAGCTGGTGAGGAAGAAAATCCTTTAGGGTTGCCACTTTTCTGGAAGCAAACTGTTTTAACCAAATGTTCACCCTCTTACCTGGTAAGGTGCCAGCCATTAGAGATACAGTGCCCTGTAGTCAGTTACTGTCTTCGGGGGATTCCTAATCTTCCTTCGCTGCTGATGGGTAGTGTGACAGCACGTCCCTAAGCCGTCTCCAGTCATCTTGGTGCCTGTCACTTATGCCAAGAGACAATGGGGCCTAACTGAAAAAAGAACTCTCAAGGCCTGGTTTATTTCTCTGTTTTGCCTCTTACTAACTATAGGCAAGTCCCTAACTTCTCTAAGCCTCAGTCTGATCTGTCGGCAGGGAAAGGGGAGAATCCCCACCTTCTAGGTGCATGAACAGCGTCTATTCACAGCTGGGCACACACACTGTTTCATGGTCACTGTTCTGCACCTGAGGAGACGGTTTGTGCGCAGCTCATGCCACTCAGCAGTGGTGAGGACGCCACTGAGCAGGCCGCCTGATTCGGGCTCCAAGGTACAGGATGGATAGAACAACAGGAGAGGAGAAAAGACACGAGCAAGCAGCTCTAGTTGATAAGATAAGCCCAGTACCCACCATCAATCTGCAGAGCTCAAACGCATGACTCATGTTACTGAACACTCTTGCTGGAATGTATAAAAAGGAAAAGGAATTATAATGGACAAAAACACGTGCTGGTTTACGGCTTGGTCCAGAACATCAATAGCAGCGATAACCAGGTCCATGGCCATTCTTTGGCAGGCTCCTTGCCGGATAAGAGACTTTTATTTCCCAGCCGAGTACCCTGCTAGACCAGTCTAGAGAGCAAACATCTGGCAGGGGCCACACGGGCCTGCAAGCCTTCTCCCAGCTAGCTCCGACCAGGTAAAGGTGGAGCCACTGCTGCTGCCCCTGATGAAGTCCTAGGCCATACTGCTGGCCTCGAAGCCAGCCCTTCCATCTGCAATCCTGAGGGACAGACAGGCCCATTCCTGGGGAGGAAACACCAGATGACTTATCTGATGAGTCAAAATACTCTCCTGCTTTCAAATGTGATCCTGGGCTTATTCGACCTGCTGATGTTATTTATGCTTGTGTAATTCAGCACTCACCAGTATGGTTCACTGGAGTCTTGAGTAATCCTGGGTTTCCTAGCAACAGGCCAACTTAACTTAGAGTATGGTCAAGCAAACAGGGATACTGCCCCCTAATTTTCAAAGAAAATTTGTTATTTCAAATTAATATCAAAGTTATCATGAGAAAAAATAAAAACTTTATTGGACTTTGTTACACTTATTTTACAATTTAGTATTGTTTTATTTTGCATTACATAAGGTGGGGGATGGCACACCTTCATTGTTTCTGAAGTTTAGGACCTTTAAAGGTCTTAATCTGGCTACCCTGCTATTAAGGAAAGTGGGGTGTCTGCTTTACACTGGCAAATAAGGGGCTAAACCTCCCCTATTTGCCCCCCCCACCTCCCTTGTAACTTTATCTCTGTACCCTGACATAAAGCACTGGTTTAAAACACAGTGGTTCCAACGATTCTTATCAAGCCCTGCTTCCTTATCCCATCCCCACCAACCTCCATCCCAACTGAGATTGTCCCCTCTGTGTCCCATCTGTTTAATTCGGTAAGAACACCTCAAATCTAGCCTCCATCAGACTGTGGCTGAACATCTCTGACCTGTGAATACTGTTTGATCTCATTTTAGCCCATAGTGAGATTAGCAGTTACCACCAGAGTGCTTAAAACGGGTTAAGCACTTTGCAAAGTAACTTTAAACAATAATACGTACTAGGTACTATCTTTTATTCAAACGAGGAAAACATTGAGGCTCAGACAGATGGTCACACAGACAGTCATCTGCCCAAGGTCATGTACTCAATAAATATGAGCCGACCAGTTTGACAGACAAAAAAAGCAATGCGGATACAAACCCAGTCTTGACTTCCAAGCCAATGTCCTTAGCCATTCTTAAGGGACCAACCCCATCCTTCCCGTACAATGTGTTCCTCTTCCTGTCTCTCCCCATATAAATGGAACCCCCATCAACTCAGGTGATGAAACCAGCAGCACTCAGGAATCGGCCTCTCCCCGAGAGCTAATCAATTGCCAGTTTTTAAATTTTAATTACTAAGTAGCTCTTAGCTGTCAGTTTCTCCCCATCCTCACTTTCGCTTCTCTGTTTGAAATGGTGTATGGCCTGCCCTGGTGTCTTCTCTAAATGCCTCTCTACGCGTCAGCTGCAGTGACTGAAGACCGTTTGTTCATGTCACTATGAATATGCTCTCAACGTAAGGTTCGAACTCTTCCGTGTGGTTTGCAAAGCCCTTTGTGACCCAGTCCCTGCCCTCTTCTTCCCATTCCAGCTTTCCTGAACAAGTCTGCATCTCCCTTCCTTTAACGTGAAGTTTTGTCTACCCTGCAGCAATGCCGGCCCTCTACCCCATTTCTCTCTCAGCTAACTCCTAACAATTCCTGGCTTCCAACTCCACTTTTTCCAGGAAGCCTATCAGGACAACCCCCCACCCTGACCCCAGGCAACTCTCCTGAGTTCTCTGCAATTCCTCAATCACAAGCACTCATCCCAGGCGCTGTACACCTGTCAGCTCATTTTCACCCTCCTCTAAACTCTAAGTCCAAGATGGCAGAGCTGGTGTCTTGTCATGTTTAACGTTGGATCCCCAAACGTGACAGGGCCTGGTACAGAACAGACACTCAGTAAATGTGTGCTGAAAGAACGAACTGTTCTAGTCGACCTCCCTGTGTGCTACCTCTCCTGAAGAAGTTTCCCAACAGCACCTGCCTTGTGTCTCATCTACACAAGTGTCTTACCCAGGGAAGATATTATTAGTACAATTTTTGGATGAGTTCAAGACTTGACTTACTAGCCAGGCCTCAAGTTTTAGAAGAGACAGGCGCATTCTGCTCGATGCCTGATGAACCTGACTGCCCACATATGTCTACAAATTATAGGATGGCTGCTAACTCATAAAAGCTGTAAAAGAAAGGGCCTTAAAAGCTTAAGTCTCTATTTTAATCAAATACTTTTATAGTGCAAATATAATAAATTCACATGCATTTTACTTTTACATACTCATAACAAGATAATGACATAAAGACTAAAGTGGCACTGTTTTCCCAAGTGACTTCATTTTCGCCAAAACTACAAAGCGCTTATGGAGACGAACGCTTCTGGCAAAGCTGGACCTGCTTTAGGCATCACTGCTATGGCGTCCAACACTGAATGAACTAACCCAAGCTGCAGGAGCGGTTAGCCGGGTGAGCCACCCTGCTCGTCTGCGGAAGGACTCAGAGGCACGCACCCCTCCCCCCAAGAACTCCAATGCCACACCTCGTGGGGGATAAAGGGCTGAACACACTGCTTGCTTGCATCACACAAATAAAGACTTTCACAGAGGAAACCTGTCACAGAAATGGTGGGTTTTGTTTTTTGCTTTTTAAGGAGACTGCAATAGAAATATATTAACGATTGGCCTCAAATATCCAACATTTTTCTTACATTTTAAATCAAAGTTGTAGGATCCTACAGATCTTAATAAAGAACTC